TAGAGTGTTGAGACTATCAGCAAATCAATTATATGAAATGCATTTACTCTAGTTCGTGTAAGGTGATGAAGGACAGTATGCTTTTACCCTATTTCGTAAAGTAGCTATTCTTGCCCTGGTGATGTCTACTACTGCGGTACATACGAAAGTTTAGCACAGATTCATCGGGCTCACAAATGTATTCACCCAATTTAGTTTAAGGTGATTAAGGACTGGTAGAAGAAGAATTTTCCCAAAATGATATGAGTTGAATTTCACATAGCCTTGTTTTCCTAAAAGTTGTTCTCATCCCGGCTCGATTGGACTGCAGTCTTGACCTCGCATCGGTCTTATCAACGCCCTAAGCGGGAGTCGAACCACGACAGTGCAGGATGGGAGCTTGACACGCTAACAACTCGACTACACTGACACGAGCGCCTTTTGGGTCACAGGGCAAATGTGAATTTGCAAGGAAGGCCAGGCCCTTTTGCCATATCATATTCTTTTGGTGGAATTGTGGATGAAGCAAACGTATGTTTTGTTATAAAAATCGACTACTTTACTTTATTTTTCGAATAAATATTGTTTTCGTGACTACAAGTAAATCAGTAGTATGACATGTATTCACCCAATTTCGTTTAACGTGATGAAGGACTGGTAGAAGAAGAATTTTCCCACAATAATATGAGTTGATTTGCGGTTCGACTCCCGCTAAGGGTGTTGATAAGACCGATGCGAGGTCGAAACTGCAGTCAACTTATGCCTGGATGCTAACAACTTTTGGGAAAGCAAGGTTTTTGGTGAGACCAGTTCTCAAATTCCCTCCAACCAATATTTTCTTTAAAATGGAGCATCATGTCACAATACATCATTAAGGAATTCTCCGAAACCCAGTTTTTATTTATTTATTCACGATTCACCTTTAACTTATCTTTATATGCCTCCGTCAGGGTTTGGCCTCATGTGGAGCCTGGTCCTGTTTCGACGAGTTCAACCGTATCGACTTGGAGGTGCTGTCTGTTGTAGCCCAGCAGATCTTGACTATTCAAAGAGCTGTGAACGCCGGTCAGACCAGATTGGTTTTCGAGGGTACCGATTTGTCTCTTGATCCGACCTGTGCTGTCTTCATCACCATGAACCCAGGATATGCTGGCCGTTCTGAATTGCCAGACAACTTGAAGGTGAAGCTTGGCTAATCATTTTTAACCCTTTGCAGAACTACATTTTTTCTATAGGCTTAACGAAGCTGCAACAATTAAATGATAAAAATAGGCATACTAGGAACTCTAAAAATCATCATCTACCTAA